TCCCCCTGCTCTTAGAATATCAATGCAAAAGTAAAGCAAACCAAGACAGTAAGATGCATCACATTACACCAGACAATTGTGAGAGAAATTCATTCACTCCTCTTAGCTACACTCAATAATCTTTAGAGGGAAACATTTGTAGTGTAAATTTGAATGCATTGATTATGAATTGACAGAGTGAGCTAATGTGCATCATTACATAACACATTATGTGTAGCAGTGAAGAGCCATGTGGGCGAACTCACCTTTTGTTTCGGGGCATTCCGGCACTCCAGCGATTTGCAAATGAGGGAGAGGAGATTTACCCCCGAGCCGATACGATGAAGAATGTGTCACACACACACAAACACACACACACTCACACTGATGGAGCTGCCATGCTGCTGCGGCCCCCCCGACCAGTTATCCCTTTTGCATGAGTGCATTCAATCACATGTACGCTTGACATGCACCATGACTAGTGAGTCAAACATGTACAGCAATGCCAGCCACTCCTGTCCACAACAGTTCAGCAGGAGGGTTTCCTCCTTCTTAATCCTTCACTCCGATGCCAAGCTGTGTCTCCAGCGAGAATCTGATCTTCACCTGATTCCTGTCAGCTTTCACGTCTCTGTTCCCCTCCTGAGCTCCTCGCAGTGCATCTCATGGTTTATCCAGTGTTACAGCAGAACTGATGATTCCCTGCAGCATCATTAGCTCTGGTTCTCATTACGGCCCTTTCTGCTTCACGTCCCTTTTACTCCCTTGTTTATATTTATGGCTGTTTTTCCTGCAACCCCCCCCCCTCCCTTGAGTCTTATCTGCCCTCTTTTCATTACATTACTAACTTGACCAGCACGGTGCTGATCATTCTAGCTCTCGACACTTTTCCATACAGGTCTTCAGCAGTTCCAGCCATTGGCACAAAGCCCCGTAAGCTTCCCCGGCTTAACACTGGACTAAACCAATCAGGCGGCCTGAGGTCTATCTCAGGACGGGCCTGTTTTATTAATCTGAGGGAGGGATAAAGGGGACAACAGAGGGGATGGAAAGGTGCACGTGGACAGTATGTGTGTCTCTATGGAGAATGCAACACAAAAATCAAGTTATTGGAGAGATAAATACATGCTGTGATGAAATGTCATCAATGTCCTCCTCTTCATGAATCTCTACATAATCAGTTTGCAAAGAAAACAGTATCAGCGAATTAACATTTGTTATTTAACCTAAAGCTAATGATAAAGGGAATGTCATTCGTTTTGTGGTTAGGTGCCAATCTAGTTGCACCGGGGGTCCAGGAATGTCCATATACAATTTTGTGTCACCCCAACAAAAAGATGAGGAGATATTTAAAGGTCCAGTGTGTAAGATTCAGGTGAAAAGGATCTATTGGCACAAATTGAATATAAAATAATTCTTGTGATGTTTTCACGAGTGTGTTTCATCAAAATTGTATGAATTGTTGTTTTCTTTACCCTAGAATGAGCCCTTTATATTGAAATACTTTATATTTACATTGAGGGGGTCCTCTCTACGGAGGCGGCCATGTTTTACTAACTAAACTAAACCTTTTGAGTTTTTCTGACAAGTGAAGTCTACCACAGGTTCTCTTTCATGTTTAGAAGGGGAAGGTGAGTTGAGGGGTTTTCAGCGGCAACATGCAACTTCACCACTAGTTGTCATTGAATTCTACAAACTGTACCTTTAAGTGAAAATTTGTATTATCAATTACGAGTGTCTGTAACCAATTTCAAATAGCAGTCCTTCCAAATGTAAAGCTATTTGACTCTCAAACAAAGTGGCATACCAACCAACAGACTGATATCATGATCCCTGTGTTACTAGCATGGCTAAAATATAGATATAATTATTCTGTGGAAATAGATAATTATACTTTGCGCAAAAAGATTTCTGATCAAAGCTCCTTTTGGATTTCTCTGAGATGACTCATTCATTTCAGTGCAGCTTTTAAACCGTGTCAGTGTCGGTTTGGATTAATGACATCGTTGGGAATGATGGAGGACATGTGCTCGCTCCCATGACAGCTAATGTCAGGCTAATTATCACATTGTGGTTCACTGTCATTGCTGGTGTAATATGAAGTAAGATTCAAAGTGACACAGAGAACATTCCAATCACTGACATGCTCTGTGAGTGAACTGTTAACAGGACATTAAAGAAACTCTTTACAAAGAAAGACAACTTCCTGTTTAAAGTGACGGTTGGTCAACAATCGTCAATCTGTAATGAAATGATACACCTCTTAACAATATTCCACAACGAGGCATTAATTGCTTTTGGTCAATTTTGTTGATCTACTGCTTTAAATCTATATGACTCTCTCAGCAGCAGCAGCAGCAGCAGCAGCAGCAGCAGGTCATTTCAGCTTTTACATTACTGCTGACCTTTGAAGACGCATTTAGCCGTGTGGTTATCCTCAGATTTATTGGTGTTTAGGCTGTTGTAATGCAACGCCTTGCAGCCTGGAATGGCACTGA